ATTAAATATTATCCACCCCACTTCCCCATTATTTTATATCAAATACCCATATCAGACACCCCCTTAAGTGATTATTAAATTTAAAAAGTTAATAAGTTTCGCAATTTGTGGTTATTAGCAATGTTATTAAACTCGACCCGGTCATTGACCCGGTCGAGGTACTGGATCACTGAATCAACCAGTGGATCACTGGTTCAACCGCATAACTTATTAGTTTACTAATTTACGTGTCTCTGGAAGAGACGTGATAGTGTACCTTTTGCTTTATTTTCATTACTAAGTACAGGGTTAATATGGCAGTTTAAGAGGGTTAATTTAACGTGAGCATAAATTAACAAAATAGAAAAATCGTTGCATAAATCCGGGGAGACAAAAGAAGCAACGTTACCTGAATCAGACACATACCTAATCTATGCAAATTCCACCAGATCTAAAGCCGTAAAAATAAGGGGTAAAGAAATGACTTACCTTATATTTTTTCACTTTTATAAAGAGATGAGATTATATTTAAAAAAAAAAAATTCCTCCACTCTCTCTCCCATAATTTATCTATTTCTTCCGCTTAAATGACACAATTTTATATCCTTTAAAATGATACACATTTTTTCCTAAAAAAAAAAGGAAAAAAAAAGTAACATGTTAAAAGATATAAGCTCGTGTGCTTTTAGGTGATTTAAACAAAGTATGATCAGTCTAAATCTGAATTTTTTTTTTCTCTCCTCGGTCACATCGCTGACGTGTAAAGTGAAATAAAAATAACTTTTCAGATTTACATAAAGTATGACCGCTCAGACTTTGTGTAAGTCACTAAAAAGACACAATTTATATCCTTTAAAAAGATACACACTAAACCCAAAAATAAAATCTCAGGGGAAAAAGAAGAAGAAAATATATCAATATGAGATTTTAGGTCAAGAAAAAGAAGTTACCTTTGGGACCTCAGCCTAACCGCGCTCTCTTTTTTGGGCGTCTATCCATGTGAGCAGGGGCGGACCCAGTAGGGGGGCTAGGGTGGGCCTCCGCCCCCTCTAAAATTTGGATTTTTTTGTAATATATGTAGAAAAATGTGAGGATAAAATTACTGTGTTGTACACGTTTTTTCCTTCAGTTCCTCATGCTTCTGCCCACACTTTTAGGGTGTGTTTGGTATAAGTTTTATTTTAGATTTGATGGAAAAGTGTGGGTGGATATTGGAAAATATCACGTTTGGTTCAAGTTTTTGAAAAAAATACTAGGCAAATAGAAAGGCTAGGAAACGACTTTGATATTGATTTTTAGGTGAAATTCACTGTTACAAAATACCACTTGAGATGTGGTATTTTGAGATAACTAGGGAAGTGAAAAAACAAGTGCGAAGTTCCTCTCGAATATAGATTAGATTTTGTAAATTTAAATAAATTTTTCCATTAATATTTCGGTCAACCAAACATCTTTTTTTAAATTTTTTCATCAAACTGAATTTCCTACCATTTTCCTAGTAATTATATTTCCCTAGTAAAAAAAATTTTCTCCTCTACCAAACGCCTCCTTACCCATATTTTTCTTGAGAACATCATATCATCCTCTCTCTCCTTTCCGTGTTTTGTCCATCACCAACCTCCTTCTTCAGCCTTTCGATTTTGACTGTGTAAATTCTAGAGCCAAGCAGAATCAACTTCCACCTTCCTAAGATCATTGCATGTATGTATAGTCATAGACTATCTTTAATTACATACATTGAAAAAGAAATTATTTTGAGTTTTAGCACGGATTCAATTATATATGAGTTTAATAATATGAAAACACGTAGAGCAAGAGTAAGTGAAACGATATTAATTTCTGTAATAGATTTCTTTCAATTTTTTTGTATATTAAGTTTGTATTGTATTTCAAGTACTTTTATTTATGATATAATATTTTTTATTTTCGCCCCCTCTTATCAAAATTTATGCGTCCGCCACTGCATGTGAGTACGAGGAAATTCAAAGACGCGTTCCATCTCCATCATCAAAAGACTTCAAAGGAAGAGACTTGAGGCCGAGAACATAATACATAGGCTTGGGCCGTTTGCAGAAGCATTGGAGGTGCAACATCTAATATTTATGAGTAAATTTTATAAATAAAAGATAAAATTTACATGTACGCATGTCATTGCGCGTATACGCACACACCTCTTTGCAAAGCCATATATTATTCATATATATGCTTGACTCAAGGACATCTAATTCATAAAACCCTTAGATCCAAAAATAACGAACTAGTTTATTGGGTTAAACATTACCTGTATCTAAGACGTAAGTTTATCAACACAAAGGTCATAAGATAAACGTTTTGTTATTTGTAAAATCTTAAAAAATAGGGAAAAGAAGAAGATAACACAACACCAAAAGCCTAACATAGCATAACAAGTCTTACATCGGTAGAAAAGAATCTAATACAAAAAAAAAAAAAAACTCTGATGCTAATTTACAATTTCTATAAATTGATATTAAATAAACGAATCAATGTTAAAATAACAAGAATTAAATTAATTGGCGATTCAATTAAATCTCAAAATTTGATTTGTCCAAAAAATAATTGGTTTAGAGAAAAAAAAAGTCCTAACAAACGGAACCCAAAATAACATAATGGGAAAAATATCTATCCTTTTAAAGAATATAAACTTGTATCCTTTTAGATCCTAACCGTTAATTTCCGTTCATCAACGGTTATAATCTATTGGGTCAAATTTAATGGACCAAATTTATTATTAATTAATTAATAATTTTAATCCAATAAATTATAACCGTTGATGGACGGAAATCAACGGTTAGGATCTAAAAAGATATAAGTTTATATCCTTTAAAAGGATAGATGTTATTCCCATAATATAATATAATATTTAAGGGAATAATATCTATCCTTTTAAAGGATATAAGCTTATATCATTTTAGATCCTAACCGTTGATTTTCGTCCATCAACGGTTATAATTTATTGGATCAAAATTATTAATTAATTAATAATAAATTTGGCCTATTAAGTTTGACCCAATAGATTATAACCGTTGATGGACGGAAATCAACAGTTAGGATGTAAAATGATATAAATTTATATCCTTTAAAAGGATAGATGTTTTTGCCAATATTTAAATTATAATTTTTTAAAATTTGAAATTAAATCCAATTCAATAAATGCAAAGAAGGAATTCATATTTTATTCAAAGAAGAATAACATTTAAATAGAGCATAGTAGTTAATTGCGCCGCAATAATGCCGCGAGCCTCGCTGTATGGGCGTTGCGGTGCCTCGCCGCAAGAAGCCGCGCCGCACCGGAACGCAATAGTGGCCATTGCGATCGCATTTGTGGCCATATTGCTGTCATAAGACAAAATGTCAATTTTGTCCTAAATATAAATGTGTAAATTAAAAAATTTAAGGGTTTTGCTTTTTAGTTTATTTGTGTCTCTCTCTGTCACTTCTGCTATCTCTGCTTATAAAAAATGTGTCTTTTTGTCATTATTTCTGTCATATATCTATTTCGCTATTTCCGCAATCGCAACTCGTTATAACGCTATAGCGTTTTTCGGAGTTGGCCGCGACATGCCGCAATCTGCATTTGATAACTATGAAATAGAGTACGTTACAATATGCTTTACGTCCGGTTCTTTCACCTAATAGATTTCTCGTCTTTAAATAGAGGAAAAAATTCACAATGCCCTTGTGGTTTATTTTAAAATCACCTATGTTCATATAAATTTTTTATCACATATGCTCTTGTGGTTTGTAAAAAGTAAAAAACCACAGGGATATCTGTGATAACAAATATATCCTTTTGCAAAAACCACGGGAGCATATGTGATAAAAAAAATCACATGAGCATAGATGATTTTGGAATAAATCATACGAGCATTGACAAACTTTTCCCTTAAATAAATCATAGTGTATCACAACTAACATCTATCGTTATTAGTTTGTCCTTCACTCAAAATTGATTAAAAAATATAAACCATAATATAAAAAAAGCTTTCAATTAATAATTTATATTTTATTCCAAATTCTCATATTCCAAATATGTAAATATTGCATAGTTTCTAGAAGTACTGGAAATATTACATCAAATTGAAGACAAATTTATATTATGTAGTCCCTTTAATAAAATGAATAACTTACATAAACAAATAAATAATAATAACATTTTATTTAAATAAAATAATGTAAATTAATAACACCACATTATTTTTTTGGTGGTTAGTAAGACTAAATTATTTAATTTACATAACTTGCTGAAGATATGGGTATATTTTTATTTTCTTTATTTTATTATTTATTATAATACAAAATATTTAATATATTATTGATAGTTAACGTGTTTTGTTTTTGAGTAAATACTTTTTTCGGTCCTAAACAAATTTTACGATCCCCGCTTTAGTCCCTATCAAATAAAAAGGTTATTGGTGGTTCCTAAACAATTCAAATTGAACCTATTTTAATCCTTTTAAGGATCTAATACAGATTTTTTTTATATTTATGAGAGATCACGATCTCAATTAAACGAGTGCATCTTAAATTTTGTAATAACCACGAATAATGGTTGCTAAGGATTGTTGGAAATCGACAATCACACAGAATCGAGAAAACAAAAAGGGAGATAAGAGTAGAGAGATTGACACGATGATTTACCCTGGTTCACCAAATATAGGCTACGTCCAGCTTGTCTGTATTATATTCACATCACCGCCACTCGTTACAAGTCTCTCGGTTTACAAGGCAAATATAAATAGGATTACAAGAAACCCTAACAGCAGCTATTCATGGGCCCAAGCCCAAACTGCTAAGAAAATTACAATAGAAACAGAGGCCTAAACATTACCTAGCCTCTACTGACCCCGACAATTAGGGCCAACATCATCATGTGAAGTATGAGCCATACCCAACAAGGATAAGGCGGGTATGGTGAAATTTGTCAACACCAAAAAAGATATTTAGGCTTTTTCTTTTGTTGGATAACGTGGTTAATGCTAACCACGAGCGTTAAAAACCGATCCAAGGGGCAAGGACTTGTACGAGGAATCGAAATCTTTTTGATCTTGCAAGGAACACTTGCAATCTACAAAACGCGAAAGCTCAAACCCTTCTCCTCCAAGGACTGTACAGCACTTGCAAGGAACACCTCACACCATACAATGCTACTCGTAATCTTTCTGATCTTCCTTATTTTGTTTCTGCTAGTGAAATGGTATTCCAAATCTACAAAACGCGAAAGCTCAACCCCTTCTCCTCCAAAATTCCCTATTATAGGAAATCTCCATCAACTTGGCTTGTACCCTCACCGCACACTTCAGTCTTTAGCTAAAAAATATGGCCCTTTGATGTTGCTCCATCTTGGGAGTGTGCCAGTTCTTGTGATCTCATCTGCTGAAGCCGCACGTGAGGTTATGAAAACCCACGACCGTATCTTTGCAAACAGGCCCCAAAGTAAACTCTATGACATACTTTTATATGAATCCAAAGATGTCGCAACAGCTCCATATGGAGAGTACTGGAGACAGATTAGGAGCATCTGTGTCTTACATCTTCTCAGTGTGAAAAGGGTTCAATCTCTTCGTGCCGTGAGAGAGGAAGAAACTTCCATAATGACGGGAAAAATAAGGCACTCTTCTTCTTCCTTACTACCGGTGAATTTAAGTAAATTACTCTCCACAACCACCAATGATATAGTTTGTAGGGTCGCTTTGGGAAGAAAATATGGTGGAGAAAGTGGGAGGCAATTCAAGGAGTTGTTGATGGATTTTACAGAGCTACTTGGTACTTTTGTTGTTGGGGACTTTGTGCCTTGGCTCGATTGGTTAACCCGAGTTTCTGGATTGTATTCTAGAGCAAACAGAGTGGCTAAACAGTTGGATGATTTTTTGGAAGAAGTGGTTGAAGAGCATATAAATCATCAGAATGAAGCCAGCAATCAGCATGGTCGTTCAGATACTGAAGGCCATAATGATTTTGTTCACGTTTTGCTTGAGATTCAAAGGACAAACACGATTGGCTTCCCCATTGGCAGAACTGTCATAAAGGCTTTGATATTGGTAAGTATTAGATCTATATGTTACCCTTGTGTGTGTGATAGTCTTTTTCTTGGTTATCCTAGAGCTAAGTACATAGAAATGTTCCGGTACCAAATTAATTAGCCTTGTGTGTGTGATAGTCTTTTTCTTGGTTATCCTAGCTAAGTACATAGAAATGTTCCAGTACCAAATTAATATGCTATTTGGTACCTCTTTTACATGTTTCTGATTCTGTAGGTGTAAAGAGATATTTCAACTCAAGTCAAGTCACAAAACTTCAATAGTTTTATATTATCTCTCTAAGGCATCTGTCGTCCAAAAGTTCATTGAATTTGAAACATAAATATTATATATGTTATTTTCTTATTCTATCTTATGCTAACTTAATTTCAATATAATATGGAGAACTATAAGTATCGAACACATAATTCCATAATTATAGAGACTCCGATATCATTTAAAGAATCATTTCAATCTAAAAACTTAAATTCATTCTTATACTTTATATAGTAATGATAAATTAACATTTAACTATCATAAATAAAATGATTACCACAGAATTTATTGCCTGCGAGTATAAAAAACATAGGTATAGAAAAAGATGCATGCAAGTAGTATTTTTTTTTTGATACATCTAGTAGTATTGTTTTAAGGAGAGAGTTGTATTTATAAACTACACTGTGTATTCCCGGAAGTACTTTAAGTTACACTATGTACTTTCGGAAGTACATAGTGTAATTTATAAAATTTGTAAAAAAGATTTATAAATGGATCATTCCTCTTGTTTTAATTTGTTACAGACATGCATCTACCACAAATTTAATCGACGAATGCCCGTAAAGTAGTTAGTTACTTGTTTATGCTCTATACAGCTCATTGTTTTAGTTGTTAACAAAGTGAGAAAAAGTTCAGCCCTTAAAGCCACAGCCGATTAATAAGAAAAATGAGTTTTAGCTTGGAAAGTAATATTAATATGAAAGAATATTCTTTCATTTTTAATTAATTAAAAATGCAAGCTTATGTTCCACTGTATAGTACTGTAGCACATGCACATTGATCATGTATTGGTTTTAGGATATGTTTACTGCAGGTACGGACACTACATCTACCTTCCTAGAGTGGGCAATGACAGAACTTTTGAGGCATCCAATTATCATGAAGAAACTGCAAGATGAAGGGAGGAATGTTGCTGGTAATAGAACGCACATAACTGAAGAGGATTTGGGTCAAATGCAATACTTGAAGGCTGTGGTTAAAGAAGCTCTGCGCTTGCATCCCCCAAATCCATTACTAGTCCCACGAGAAAGCATGGAAGATATCAAACTGAACGGGTACCACGTTAAAGCTGGCACACGAGTAATTGTAAATGCTTGGGCCATTGCAAGAGATCCTTCATATTGGGATCAACCTGAAGAGTTCAAGCCTGAGAGGTTCTTGAATAGTTCAGTGGATTTCAAAGGGAATGATTTCCAATTGATTCCGTTTGGAGCAGGGAGGAGGGGTTGCCCAGGAATTGTGTTTGCTGATGTTGTTAATGAGCTTGTTCTTGCCAACCTTGTCCACCAATTTGACTGGACATTACCCGGTGGAGCAGCAATGGAGACCTTGGATATGTCCGAAACTGTTGGCTTAACCATGCATAGAAAGAGTCCCCTTATAGCAGTTGCTGCTCCTACATAATTACAAGTAAATGAGGGGAAAAAGCACGGAAGGAATTTCAAAATAATAAAAGGTAACTTGCGGTGGAGTAAATAATGGTTGGCATATGTGGTCCAATCTTCTTAACTCTGGTTTGAATTTGATTCTCATGTTTTCTCTTTTAATAAATAATATATAATGGAAAAAGTGTTTGTGATTTTAAATGACATAAACTTACGTTATTTTAAGAGAGAGATAGACACATAATTTTATTTTTTTATTTAAAATTTAAATTAAAAAAAACCACCCAATTTCTCTCTCCCATGATTTCAATTCCATATGTTTAGGGGTGTTCGCGGTCTGGATTTGATCGATTTTGGAAGCAAAAATCATCCGATCCAATCCCTTCGGTTTTGATTTTTTTTCAAATCCGATCCGATTTAATCCAATTTTTTTCGGTTTGGATTGGATCGGTTTTCGATTTTTTGAAAATCCTAAAATTTATTTCATGATTATTGTGCAAATAACATCTTTTGTATATATTGGCTTTGTAATTTTTTTTTTTGAAATACAAAAGCATTAGTAAACTATAATATAATTTTTTTAATTTTGACAATGAGATATGAAGCTTTACAAAGATAAAATTTTGTTAATGAGATATGACTAGATTTTTTTTTTGGTTTAGTTGATGGATTAATGGGTCTTGAGTTTAGAAATTTTTAAGCTAGGATTAAGAAAATACCCAAGTAGGTAGAGGGAAATTAATATATTGGATCGGTTTGGATTGGATCGGTTTTCATCAACTCATCCAAAAACCGATCCAATCCAATTAAAATTTGCAATTTTTAATCGGTTTTCGGTTTTTCGGTTTTCGGTTTTTCGGTTATCGGTTTTTCAGTTCGGTCACCGCGGTTTGAATCGGTTGATGAACACCCCTACATATGTCTATCTCTCTCCTAAAATGACAAAACTTATGTTATTTAAAATGACAAACATCAAACCCATATATAATTTCACCTTAAACTTAATCCACTTACCTTAAATTCAGTCATAGTTGACGTAGTACGTAGTGGTCTTCCCTAATCTTAGAGGGGAGCTTATCTTCTTCTAATCTAAACTTTTCATCTCAAAAAATTAAAAATTAAAATAAATTGTGAGTTGTAAAAATATTTCTTAGAAAGGTGAGTTGTTTAATATTTATCATTTGTTAGTTATATTTGATTGACTTACAAAGTAGGCGCAGGATATACTTATCATCAAATATGTTTATCATTTCTTACCACTAAATCTTAACCGTTAATTTCTATCAATATAACGGTTATAATTTATGGGAAATTAATAATTAATTAATAAGTGTCATCCAATAAATTATAACGATCAGATTGACAGAAATCAATGGTTAAGATTTGGTTGTAAGAAGTGATAAACTTAACTCTTTAAATACTTAAGATTTTAATATGGACTAGGATAAATACCAATTTTTTTTTTGTTCTAGATTAAAATTGGTATTTATCCTAATTCAGATTAAAATCCTAAATATTTCTACTTAGAATCTAACCCTCTTTATTCGTATATGGTTGATCAAATTATATAATAAATTAAACAAATAAATCAGGATAAACACATAACAATTGAGACAGATTTTATTAAAAAACAATTTAAATCAACATAAGAGTAATCATTGGATCCATAACCTTAACTACTAAGAAAATTAGTCAGGCATATACATATCTCAAAAAAATGTCAAAAGAAAAGAAAAGAAAATTAAAATACATTTTTGGAGGAAGAACAATGATGAATCTTCATGTTTCCGCTCCGATCCTCTTTCTATTCGTTCACGATCTCTGGTCTCTGTATTTTTCTCCCTCAACTGCGCCCCCGTTCCAGAATTACTGATTTTTCCAAAATATTCCCCTTTTATATTGAAGGAAAACTTTCGTTTAAAATCTCCAATTAAATCTTCAACCAAATTTGTGATTAAAAAATTTAAAACAATTAGAATTTGAAGACGACGTGACAACAGTGACACGTGAAAACCAAAAACAAAAGGCTTAATGCTTTTAGTGCAGCCATGAGAGAGAAGTTGGCGCTAAAAGAGCCACACTTGCAATTGTCTTGGAGCTTGGCGCTTGAAACGCCATCTTGTGGACAAACAGAGAGCGTTTGAGATTGGTGCTTTGTTGCGACTCGGCAAGTGCACTAGTCATTAAGTAATTAAGTGTACTGGAGTACGAGATTCTTCCCATGAAGATTGATTTTCAAGCATTTGTTCACTAATTGCGGTTTAGTTGGACAACCAAGATTGAGATGAAGAGAATTGTTATGGACCCATATAATGGGCCCATTAAGTGGTAAGCCCAACAAGGGGCAATCCAAGATACGGATTGATATTAATAAGGGATAGATATCCATCAAGGATACTAATCCTAATACGACAGCATAGCAAGCAGGTCTGGGCCCTCACCAGAGGCACCAAAGGCCCATCCACACTACCCACAGGTAACCTCTATAAATACAAGGTAAACCCTAAAGGTACGGTACGCTCTCTCTCTTACTGTTATGCTATCACTGTGCGCGCACACACACCCTATTGGCTAATGTCGTTATAGTATTTTGTGCACAGTGATCTGCTCGACTCAAGGGTATCTCATTAATAGATACCTTGGAGAGGGCACTAGATCCAAGATAAACGCACCAGCCTATTGGGCTGGACATCTCTGTCTCAAGGACAGAACAAGAAACGAAATTAAAAACAATCAATAACATGTAAATTCAGAATTAAAAAGCAATTAAAAAGATGAGTTTTTTTGACAATCAAGAATACGCGTAGTTAGGGTTTCAGCTTCTCCCAATTTTCTCTTTATGTTATGAATTAAACAGTTAAGAATCTGCTCTTAATATAATGCCAATCAATTCTTTCTAAATTAACTAAGGCTCAATTTCTTGTTACCGTAATTCTATGTGATCTTGAAAGAATCCTAGTTCCCCGGTTGTTCCTCAAGAAAATAAGCATTACGATCAAGAATATAAAGATTACACAATTGTCTTATGTCTATTCTTAGATCACAAGGATTATGATGAATGTATCAAATCAGGGTTCATGCACCAATATCCCTATTGTCATACAATTCCCCTAAACCAATCTACAAGGAGCAGACACATGGAAAGCATTAAAGACAGATAAGTTCATTCAATGATAGAAAGAGAAGAATTCAGAAACAATTTAATTCATAACACAAAGATTCAATTGGATTTTATCTTCCCCTAACTACCTAAAAAATCTAGCCTAGCATATTGAAATTAATAACAATAGAAAACAAATAAGAATCCTCAAGCTCCATTGATGACAACTTGTTGAATCTTCAGAGTTCGCAGCACCTTTGTGAGTTTCACCCGCTTCCAACGCTCCAAAGCATGAAAACGTGTTTCTCTCTCTCTTTCTCTCTCTTTCTCTCTCTCTCTCTCTCTCTCTATATATATATATATATATATATATATATATATATATCATTTCAGTAATCTCCAATCTCAATTGATCAAAAGCTCCCTTTCTTAATTTGCCAGCCCTTTTTTATAGAAGAAACCATATCGTTTTATTTTCTTGTATGATCTTGCATCAAATCTCAAACCATATCCTTAATTATATGATTTCACAATTTGGGCCTGTCTTGATTCACAGATGAGCATTGCAACGCTCATGAGAGCGTTAAAACGCGCTCAAGCACAAAAGGTTTTTGGGAGAAGAGCGCTTTAACGCTCTAGAGCGCGTTATTAGGCGCTCCTCGAAGGGAAATTTCTCATGTGGTAGCGCGTTACAACGCTCTACAGAGCTTTAAAACGCGCTAAACCTGAAGCTTCCTCCTATGTTTTCCAGATAGCTAGAGCATTGCAACGCTCATTTCAATGTTGTAACGCTCTCCTTCATCCTTGAGCTTTGCTTCTTGGGTGCTTTTCATGACTTTCTTGATCTTCCATTCCTTTCCCAAAGTCCTTTCTTCATTCTAGCTTAATTCAAGTCAATTTACCTAAAAAATAAAATAAGAATGAATTATGTTTGATTGAACTCAACTTTACATATTTTTCCACTATAAACCTAATTATCCATGTCTTAGACTATGTAAATCATGTAATATAAAAATGCATGACCGAATCGAGTCATCAGTTTTAGCCGAGTTTTGATCGGATTTAACTGAGTCCGATGTATGGCTGATCTAATACTTGACTCGAACCAATCTAATAATCAGTTAGCCCGAATTTTGGGTCTACCGAACCGATTTCATAACACTGTTTTTGGGAGATGACTCACACATCGAAACTACTATCATTTAGACTCAAAAATAAGGGTTTTATAATTCTCATGTTGAAGGAGAATTGAAATCTCATGTTGTAGAGATAAAAAGTATGTTGAATCCATGTGTTAGAAAAAATTATATATAGAACCCATGTCAGCACGAAAATCGAAGGGTGTGTAGGAAAATTGTAATTCTCATGTTAAATGAGAATTATAAAACCCCAAAAATAACTTTAAGATACGAGAAGTTTATCAACAAAAAGGTCATAAGTTAAACGTTTTGTTATTCGTAAAATCTTAAAAAATAGGGAAAAGAAGAAGATAACACAACATCAAAGGCCTAACATAGCATAACAAGTCTTATATCGGGAAAAAGAATCTAATACAAAAAAAAAATCTGATACAAATTTATAATTTCTATAAATTGGTATTAAATAAACGAATCAATGTTCAAATAACAAGAATTAAATTAATTAGCGATTCAATTAAATCTCAAATTTTGATTTGTCCAAAAAATAATTGATTTAGAGAAAAAAAAGTCCTAACAAACGGAATCCAAAATAATATAATATATAAATTATAAATTTTTAAAATTTGAAATTAAATCCAATTCAATAAATGCAAAGCAGGAATTCATATTTTATTCAAAGAAGAATAACATTTAAATAGAGTACATTAAAGAAATTACAATATGCTTTCCGTCCGGTTCTTTCACCTAAAAGATTTGTCGTCTTTTTTTTTTATAAACACATATTTCTCGTCTTTAAATAAAAAGAAAAATATTTCTGTAGTTACTGCAGATAAGTTATTTGCATTTATTTTCAAAATGATATCATTTTGAGATTGAAAGATTAAAAAATTATAATTTTAAAAATTATAATAACCCTGAAATAAATTAAAATTATAAAAATACCATAATTTTTGTCAAAAAATGATACTATATTAGACTTACTGTAGAAAACTTATTTGCAGTCTTAAATAAATCATAGTGTATCACAACTAACATCTATCGTTATTACTTATTAGTTTGTCCTTCACTCAAAATTGATTAAAAAATATAAACCATAACATATAAAAAAGCTTTCAATTAATAATTTATATTTTATTCCAAATTCTAAAATTACAAATATGTAAATATTGCATAATTACTAGAAGTACAGGACATATTTATATTATGTAGTCCCTTTAATAAAATGAATAACTTACTTAAACAAATAAATAATAATATTTTATTTAAATAAAATAATTTAAATTAATAACACCAGATTATTTTTTTGGTGGTTAGTAAGACTAAATTATTTAATTTACATAACATGCTGAAGATATGAGTATATTTTTATTTTCTTTATTTTATTATTTATTATAATACAAAATATTTAATATATTATTGATGGTTAACGTGTTTTTTTTTGTTTTTTTTTGTTTTTTTTTTTGGATAACGTGGTTAATGCTAACCACGAGCGTTAAAAACCGATCCAAGGGGCAAGGACTTGTACGAGGAATCGAAATCTTTTTTATCTTGCAAGGAACACTTGCAATCTACAAAACGCGAAAGCTCAAACCCTTCTCCTCCAAGGACTGTACAGCACTTGCAAGGAACACCTCACACCATACAATGCTACTCGTAATCTTTCTGATCTTCCTTATTTTGTTTCTGCTAGTGAAATGGTATTCCAAATCTACAAAACGCGAAAGCTCAACCCCTTCTCCTCCAAAATTCCCTATTATAGGAAATCTCCATCAACTTGGCTTGTACCCTCACCGCACACTTCAATCTTTAGCTAAAAAATATGGCCCTTTGATGTTGCTCCATCTTGGGAGTGTGCCAGCTCTTGTGATCTCATCTGCTGAAGCCGCACGTGAGGTTATGAAAACCCACGACCGTATCTTTGCAAACAGACCCCAAATGAAACTCTGTGACATACTTTTATATGAATCCAAAGATGTCTCAGCAGCTCCATATGGAGAGTACTGGAGACAGATTAGGAGCATCTCTGTCTTACATCTTCTCAGTGTGAAAAGGGTTCAATCTCTTCGTGCCGTGAGAGAGGAAGAAACTTCCATAATGATGGAAAAAATAAGGCACTCTTCTTCTTCCTTCCTACCGGTGAATTTAAGTAAATTACTCTCCACAACCACCAATGATATAGTTTGTAGGGTCGCTTTGGGAAGAAAATATGGTGGAGAAAGTGGGAGGCAATTCAAGGAGTTGTTGATGGATTTTACAGAGCTACTTGGTACTTTTGTTGTTGGGGACTTTGTGCCTTGGCTCGATTGGTTAACCCGAGTTTCTGGATTGTATTCTAGAGCAAACAGAGTGGCTAAACAGTTGGATGATTTTTTGGAAGAAGTGGTTGAAGAGCATATAAATCATCAGAATGAAGCCAGCAATCAGCATGGTCGTTCAGATACTGAAGGCCATAATGATTTTGTTCACGTTTTGCTTGAGATTCAAAGGACAAACACGATTGGCTTCCCCATTGGCAGAACTGTCATAAAGGCTTTGATATTGGTAAGTATTAGATCTATATGTTACCCTTGTGTGTGTGATAGTCTTTTTCTTGGTTATCCTAGAGCTAAGTACATAGAAATGTTCCGGTACCAAATTAATTAGCCTTGTGTGTGTGATAGTCTTTTTCTTGGTTATCCTAGCTAAGTACATAGAAATGTTCCAGTCCCAAATTAATATGCTATTTGGTACCTCTTTTACATGTTTCTGAATCTCTAGGTGAAAGAGATATTTCAACTCAAAAGTTAAGTAACAAACCTTCAATAATTTTATATTATCTCTCTAAAGCATCTCCCATCCAAAAGTTTTTTGGGCTTCAAGTGTAAATATTATATATGTTATTTTTTTATTCTATTTTATGCTAACTTAATTTTAATATAAAATGGGGAATTATAAGTATTAAACTCGTAACTCCATAATTATAGAGACTCTAATATGATTTATAGAATCATTTCAATCCGAAAACTTAAGCTTGTTCCTATACTCTAAATCGTAATGATAAATTAAAATTTAACTATCATAAATAAATGATTACCACAGAATTTATTGCCTGCGAGTATAAAAAATATAGGTATAGAAAAAGATGCCTGCAAGTGGAATTGTTTTTTTTTTTTTTATAGACCTAGTAGTATTGTTTTAATTCATTACAGACATGCATCTACCACAAATTTAATCGACGAATGCCCGTATAGTAGTTGCTTACTTGTTTATGCTCTATACAGCTCATTGTTGTAGTTGTTAACAAATTGAGAAAAAGTTTATCCCTTAAAGCCACAGCCGGTTAATAAGAAAAATGAGTTTTAGCTTGGAGAGTAATATTAATATGAAAGAAATAAAAATGCAAGCTTATGTTCTACTGTATAGTACTGTAGCACATTGATCATAAATTTGTATTTGTTTTAGGATATGTTTGCTGCAGGTACGGACACTACATCTACCTTCCTAGAGTGGGCAATGACAGAACTCTTGAGGCATCCAGTTATCATGAAGAAACTGCAAGATGAAGGGAGGAATGTTGCTGGTAATAGAACTCACATAACTGAAGAGGATTTGGGTCACATGCAATACTTAAAGGCTGTGGTTAAAGAAATTCTGCGCTTGCATCCCCCAATTCCATTACTAGTCCCACGAGAAAGCATGCAAGATATCAAATTGAACGGGTACCACGTTAAAGCTGGCACACGAGTAATTGTAAATGCTTGGGCCATTGCAAGAGATCCTTCATATTGGGATCAACCTGAAGAGTTCAAGCCTGAGAGGTTCTTGAATAGTTCAGTAGATTTCAAAGGGAATGATTTCCAATTGATTCCGTTTGGAGCAGGGAGGAGGGGTTGCCCAGGAATTGTGTTTGCTGATGTTGTTAATGAGCTTGTTCTTGCCAACCTTGTCCACCAATTTGATTGGACATTACCCGGTGGAGCAGCAATGGAAACCTTGGATATGTCCGAAACTGTTGGCTTAACCATGCATAGAAAGAGTCCCCTTATAGCAGTTGCTGCTCCTACATAATTACAAGTAAATGAGGGGAAAAAGCACGGAGGATTTCAAAATAATAAAAGGTAACTTGCGGTGGAGTAAATAATGGTTGGCATATGTGGTCCAATCTTCTTAACTCTGGTTTGAATTTGATTCTCATGTTTTCTCTTTTAATAGATGATATATAATTTCACCTTAAACTTAATTCATCTACCTTAAATTCAATCATAGTTGCCGTAGTGGTGGTCTTCCCTAATCTTATAAGGGAGCTTATCTTCTTCTAATCTAAACTTTTCATATCAAAAAATTAAAAATTAAAATAAATTGTGAGTTACGGCAATACTTCTTAGTAAGGTGAGTTGTTTAATATTTATCATTTGTTACTTATATACTTACCACCAATTAAGTTTATTATTTCTTACCACTAAATCTTAACTGTTTATTTCTACCAATCTGGCGGTTATAATTTATGAGAAATTAATAATTAATTAATAAGTGTCATCCAATAAATTATAACCATCAGATTGACAGAAATCAACGATTAAAATTTGATGAGAAAAAGTGATAAACTTAATTAGTGGTTAGTGGATCCCCTTTAAATATTTAGGATTTTAATCTGTACTAGAATAAATATCAATGTTTACTTGTTCTAGATTAAAATCGGTATTTATTCTAATTCAGATTAAAATCTTACATATTTCTACTTAGAATCTAATCCGCTTTATTCATTTATGGTTGATCAAATCATATAAGAAATTGAACAAATAAATCAGGATAAACACACAATAATTGAGACAAATTTTTATTGAAAAATAATTTAAATCAACATAAGAGTAATAATTGGATCCATAACCTTAACTATTAAGAAAATTAATCAGACATATACATATTTGGCTTCAACAAAATGTCAAAAGAAAAGAAAATTAAAATAAATTTCTGGACATAGAACGATGATGATCTCTATCTTTCCACTTCGATCCTCCTTCTATTCGTTCACGATCTCTGTTCTCTGTATTTTTCTCCCTCAGCTGCGCCCCCGTTCCAGAATTACTGATGTTTCCAAAATATTCCCCTTTTGTATCGAAGGAAAACTTTCTTTTAAAAGCTCCAATTAAAAATTAAAAACAATTAAAATTTGAAGACGATGTGACAATAGTGACACGTGACAACCAAAAACAGAAGGCTTGATGCTTTTAGCGGAGAGAGAAGTTGGCGCTAAAAGAACCACACTTGCAATTGTCTTGGAGCTTGGTGCTTCAAGCGCCATCTTGTGGACAAACAGAGAGCATTTGAGATTGGCACTTTTAGCACCATTATGAGAGAGAAGTTGGGGCTAAAAGCGCCACAGCTTTAAGCGCTACTTGCTTCTTGCTTTCCTTGTTTCTCTTGTTATTTGAGCTCTCTAATCTTGGTATTCTTCAATCAGAAAAACTTTTAGAAAACATAATAATTTCATGGAAGTATTTCTAAGAGTGAATCAACAATTAAATCACCATTTTCATATGTTTTGGTTAAATTTGACCCTTAATACATAGTGAGTGAAGGGCATATCATTATCCTCCTCCGTGGAAGACAATTCTTGTTCGACCCACGAACATCCATATCATGTGGAACTAGTTTTTCCAAAGAGAATTTTTCGCATTCACAAAAACTTGAATCCAATATTTTGCTTAAGCGGAATCAAGCATGTACTAGTCTGATTTAAACATCATTTTTAATTACATATGGAGATTAATCAGAAGAAAGTCAGACAGAATGCAAAGAGGCAAGAATGACCTTGATGAAACTCAGGTAAGTTATCGGTGTGCTCCATGTAGTTGTGTATTGTCTTGTACTTAATTATCCCGATTGAGTGATTGTGATTTGTGACTATTGTATTTCTTAAAATTCATTGCACATTACAAAAATTACAACCAGAATAATTGAATTGAGTAATCATGCTTCAATCTTTTTTTATTTTCTCCCCAATCTCGGCCGTACATAGGGATTATTGTGCCAACTTTCTGGCCAATTATGTAGCTTGCCATGATTCCTTTTACATCAAGGATAATTCTCTTACTGTGGAAAGATTAGTCAGTTCATCGAATGCGATACATATAATTATTTTTACAAGAAGTTGCACATTACCTTATTTTCAAAATCTAAGGCTCTGTTTGGTTACTGTTTTTAAATTTTTTTTAATTTTCAGAACAAAAAAATAAAAAAATTTGTTTGGTAAGACCTGATTTGTAAAAAAAGTTTTAAGAACTGTAACTATTTTTTTGTTTTTAGAATCAAATTTAGAGAACATGTCTGAGTTGTTTTTATTTTCTGTTTTGGTTTTAAACTTTCAAAACAAAAAAAAACATAAAAAACAACTGTTTCCATAATTATTCTACAAAACAGTTTTAACAAAAAAAAAAATCAAAACACAATCAAACAGACTCTAATTTATTGATTTTTTGACTCTTATTCTAACTTAAGAAGCAAACAAATAAAAAGTCTACTCATTTTGGTAAGGATTTTAAGCATAAAGCATCAACTGGTTGTGAGTGTTGAATTTCAACGGTGACGGGGGAAAGTTCGAACATTAAATAATTTGGTATCTACAAAAAAATATCAGTTTTTGTTTCTTTTCCCATTTTTTTTTTTTTGCGAAGTAGCACATCTCATGAGTAGGACTTAACCTACATCAATAGCATAGATAAGAACCCATTAGTATTTTGCATTTTTAAATAATTCTGTTAAATATCAGAGATTTGTCTTATTTATAACAAAGTTATGAAAGGAATTGTCTTGCTCGGAGGGAAAAAAAATAGGTGATGTTCAATATGGAGCATATTAAATTAAAGACAGAGATAATTACCCAAAAAAAAAAAAAAAATTAAAGACAGATATAAGGCCACGTAATATCTTTTTTTTGTAGGCTTCACGAATGGGACAGTGTTGGGCTAGCTCTAATATATTTATCGATGATCATTAAATGGGCTTTACCAAGAAATTCCTGCGCCATTAGTCCAATTAATTGCACCGAGCTAAGTTTGCACATGCAATTGTCTTAGGTTGCCAAGCATATAAAAGGAACATCATATATGCAAGACTCATTCCATGAATAACAAATAATAAAGGCAATTTCATCCATCACATCTCACAAATTCTTTAGCCTATAGTAATACCTCTAGTTCTGAAATGACTTCAGTAGGCAAGCTTTCTTACCAGAAACTAAGAAATGAAGAAGAATTGGACGATGAAATACTAGAAAGAGAAGTGAAAAAAACAAGGGCGTGGCTTAAGCTTAGGGCTCTAGGAGGTAGGAGAAGGCCAAGGCTTCGTATCGCTGGCTTGAGGCAATTCCTCGGAAAAAGAACTAAGTTTCTGCCTAGATTCAGAGTCTCGTGGCGTAAGGCTTTGAAGAAGTTGAAGAATGGGCAGAGTCACATGAACGATCTCTTTGGGGGAAATTTTTTGTTTATGCAGGGCAATCCTACTCTAAGATGTGGTAAAAAACCTTATACGGGTTATGGCCTTCAAGGATTATGGACAACATATTCTGTTGGAAGGATCGCCTAGGAAATTTTGCTTTCATGCTACCTAGATATACGTAAATCCTACTACGTATGGTAAATATTTTATCTTTTTATTTATTTACTTTTTGGGGTTTCAAAGGAGGGTTATATGCTACTTATATGATAATCCAACTAAGCAATTACATATTTTATCTTTTTGTCATCTGTGTTTTGCGTCCTTAATTTTTATACGTACATGGAACCACAATAGCAAAAATAACCCCCTTTAATATCAATCTACCATGACTATATATAATCTTGATTTTAATTATAATATTTTACTTTGGGGCAATTCAATGGAAGATCCAGAAATTTTGTATGGGCAAAATTGTAATTTACATATATGTACATTTAAAATTTTAAATCCCACACAAAAATGATATTGAAAAGGATAGTGTAATATATGTAAATTACAATTACGTATTTGATAAATAAAATAACAATAATACTCACAAGTGACAACTAAAGACGTCTATAAATTTTAAGGAAACAACTAATTATATTTAAAAAAAATTATACTTAAAGTTAAATACTATTATGAACTTGAAGAGGGTGATCGTCCACCCTATCTTCTCTCTCTTCACTATTGAGTTCATATGGGGGGTGGGGGAGGTGAATTTAATTATGAAGAAGATGAGCATCTATGTCAAAGAGACCTGACGTACAGAGAAGGCAAAACCAAGATTTAACTTGCAAAGAAAAGAATAATAATTTGCATGACCCGATAATTATTGAGAGTTTTTGATGTTAAAGATTTGACTAAACATAAAAAAAAGTATAATTATTGGCTATAAGACTAGGAAAACACGCTTTGATGGGAAAGTCTGAAAAGGTAGGTGCTAGAGAAGAAAAATCGAAGATTGAGAGATGGAATAAGACGAATAAATTACTGCAATATTTTTTTTTTGCTTGCCTAGTTCATTCCAAGCATGAGACATTTAGCGAACATCGCAATATGAAACACCGAGGTTTTAAAAGTTTAGCTCTATACCAAGAATCTAATCGCAGTTAGAATGAAATAATGGCAGTTTAGTTTATATTAGGAAATTGAGCAGGTGAGTGTGAGAGTATGTGTTTGATTCTTTTCAGTATTATTTTTGAGAAGATTTTAAAGCCTTAATATCGGGACTCCTCCGAATCAAATTAATCGCGAAGCGATGAACCGATTGTAATATCTCATAAAAAAAAGGTTGCAAGTTGTAAAATGAAATTTTAAATGTTGTACAATTGCAACAGTAATAAACTTATAGATTTGTAAAGTGTCAAATTAACTCAAAAGTTAAAATTATTGAATGAGATTTTATTAATAATTTTATATTTTTTTCTAACACGACTACTCACACTAGAGCTATTAAGCTTGGAGGATAGATAATACATCATGTCCACCCTAATTGTATTAAGAAATTGCATAGTATTTAATTATTTTTAATAATAAAATGAGTACAACTCGTTACCACTTAGTCACGTCAACTCTGAGATGTCATTAAAGAATCATTTCACCAAAAAAAATTATTTCAACCGAAAAATTTAAATTGTTAGGGCAAAGATACATTAATAGTTTTATGCAATGTTATTAAAATCGGCCTGATCATTGACCCGGTCGAGGTGCTGGGTCATGGTTCAACCAGTTGGTCACTGGTTAAACTGCATGACCCGATAATTATATGAAATTCTATAATTTATATTAAAAAATTATAAACATACTCAAATATCTAAAAAAATGATAAAAATTTCAAATATTTTAATATAAAAAATAATAAATCATACATTAATATCCAATAAAGGATCAAATATAAATATAATGATCGAGATACGAGGCTTCAGGTTTAGTAAACGACATCTCTAACTATAAATAAAATCAAAATTTTCTACATAGTGCATAATTGAGAAAATATTAGTATTGTAGATACATAACCTATGTAAGTCAATGAGCAAAAAATACTCAAATATGTCCATTATAATTATTTTTTTGAAAAAAAGAATTGGATTTTTTTTGTTCCGAGCCGGGTCATCGATTTTCACAAAAATTGGCCAGGTCGCATCGATTTTAATGCATGGCCGAGCAGTTGCTTCACTGGGATCGATTATATAACCAATTTATCGATTTTAGGTCGACCAGGCCGGTCTGATTTTATTAACATTGATTTTATGTTTCAAAATTGACTTTGAAGATAAAATGATAATTAATGTAAAAAGGAAGAACAACAGTTTTAAGTTTGATAATTGATTTTCATGCGAAGAAATATTTATTTATTTTTTATATTGATGATGCAATGTCATATAAAATAACATCTTTCAGATATTTGCAATACAACTCAATTGGTATTTTTTTTAAAAAAAAATTCGCGAATTCTCTTTATAAATTTCTGATTTTTAGCCCGCGAACTCTCTCTTTATATATTCTGGGAAACATATTTCTTTTGTCACCGCAGATAAAGTTATTTTCAGTGAACTAAAAACGACGTCATTTTAGATTATAAAATTAAAAAATTATAATAACAACGTCATTTTAAACTTACCGAAGATAACTTATCTCCATTAACTGGAAAAATTTTTTACCCATATATCATTGATTCGTAATTTAATAACTATCGTAAAATTTTGAAAATTTTATATTTTAAAATAAATAATCAATCCGAACTCGTTCTTCTTGGAAATTGCATCCTCTAAACGAAATATTACCGAAAACTTTGCATTGGCATTAAGATATATTCGGCTAAACATTTAACGCCCTCTTGGGTGTGATGTATAAGGCATGATAGTATAAGCTTATATTATACGATATGATATTTCAGTTGTTTGGTGCGACCATCGTATAGTATAAGCTTATACAGCAGGACCCCTTTATACATCAAAATGATGTATAACTTAATCCGGCCTAGGAGTGGTGGATTAGGCCTGATAAGGGATTGATGTATTAATATTACTTACAAGTACAATTCCCAAGAACTAATATATCATTTCAATATTTATATATTAAAATAAATTTTTTTAATATATTAATTTTTAAAATATTGGAGGATATTATCTTATACAATATCATATCAAACGCTAGATAGTATTATAATTTAATCAGATCTTATACAATCAGGCCTTATCCTATACTATGCACCAAACATGCCATAATTTTAGAAGCTCACTGTATTTGAAGTTCAATTCATCTAGTTACTTGTTTGGAATAGTTTTATTTTAATAATTACTTTTTAAAAAAAATTCTTTCAAAAACTTTAATTTTTTTTAAAAAATACAAAATAAAATACCAAAAAACACTTGTGGTCCAATTGTTTTTTTTTTTTTCTGGTCCGCCAAACACTAGTTCAGGTGCATTTGGAAGATCGGGTATCGCCAAATCAATCCCAGGACGCCGACAGTTTGATTCTTCCATGGAAAAAATTTACATTCAGGAAATTGAAAATATTTTCATCCATTAAGAGTATTATTTCGAGAATATCTTAAAACAGTTTCCTTCTCGAGCCGATAGTGAGATCAGGGAGCCAAGTATGTAACCTTAAATGGGTGTTATGGTTGTTATAGGGGTGCCTTTACACAACAATGATATGAACCAAGACTACGAGAGGTAATCCCAAGAGAAATGTGTATCAACGGAGGATAGTGTTAAGTGGCTGTAATAGCTCTCTTTGTTGACATAGTAATGAGTCATAAGATAGAGATCAAGTCCCTTTGATATGTAAAATGAGGGGGTATTTATAGATCTCATGATAAAGGGGATGAGGAGATAAGTCAACTATTGAGGGGGTATTTATAGATCTCATGATAAAGGGGATGAGGAGATAAGTTAACTATTATAGGAAATAGGCAAAGTAGCCTGATCTTGTTGTGGCAAGATACCTTGTATGCTAACAACAACTGCGGTTAGGGGTGTTCATTACCCGATTCAAACCGCGGTGACCAAACCGAAAAATCTATAACTGAATAAACTGAAAATCGAAAAATCGAAAATCGAAAAAAACTCACAAATTTTAATTGGATTGGATCGGTTTTTGGATAGGTTGATGAAAACCGATCCAATATATTAATTCCCCTCTATTTACTTGGGTTTTCCCCCATCATAGCTCAAAAATTTCCAAACTCAAGACCCATTAACCCATCAACTAAACCCAAGAAAATATCTAGTCACATCTCATCAACAAAATTTTATCTTTGTAGAGCTTCATATCTTATTGCAAAAAAAAACTATATTATAGTATACTAATACTTTTGTATTTCAAAAAAAATAAAATTTACAAACCAATATACACAAAAGATGTTATTTGCACAGTAATAATGAAATAAATTTTAGGATTTTCAAAAAACCGAAAACCGATCCAATCCAAACCGAAAAAAATTGGATTGGATCGGATCGGATTTGAAAAAAATCCAAATCGAATGGATGATTATATGATCAAATCGAAAGGATTGGATCGGATAATTTTTACTTTCAAAATCGATCCAATCCAGATCGCGAACACCCCTAAATGCGGTGCAGGAAAAGCTGAGGGAGAGGGAACTCCCAGCATGCTGTTTTGATTGAGTGCTGAATAAGACAAAAAGAAATGAGGGAATCCCAACGTAAGGCACTATGATGTCTGATGTTAGGGGGCGTTTGGTTCAGGAATTTTTTTTGGAATAGTAGGGAAATGAGATAGATAGAGAAATGATTGGAAAGATAGATAAAGTGAGATAGGTAGAAAAATGTAAAAAAAAGTTGTTTGGTGGAGAAAAACTTTACTGAGAAAATTAGGTAACTTTATGAAATCAACAGTGCATTAAAAGTCAGGTAACCGGTTTTCCGAAAAATCCCACCTTCAAATTGAGTTTCTAAACAGTGCGGATATCTATCTTTCTCATAAATCCATACAAATTGGATAGATGGATTTTTGGTGAAAAACGTTAAAACAAACATGGTATTTCTAAAAGCCATACTTGAGAAACATAGATATCCTCTAAAAAGCTCTCAACCAAACACCACCTTAGGGGATTCCTTGCATGAGCGTAGGTAAAAGGGTAATACCAAGGCAGAGTTGAAGTGGCTTGAACCCATGATATTGGGCCGTTCTTATTGGGCCTCCCAAGTGGGCCGGCAAAACACTTTTCAATGTTCTTTTTGACATTATATATTAAGAAATTTATTTGTATAAACTTGTATATTCAACTTATATGTAATAATCTAATAAAAAAAAAAGATGCATTATTAATTTATTAAACAAACATTATATTAACTGTTAGATTAATAATGCAATACTGCTTTATTGACATAGCCCAATTTGAAAGTGCAAAAATTTTACGCAACACTCTCTCCTATATTAAATTGAATGAGAGGGAAATTATTATTTTTTTATGTATATTTTATTTTATACATATTTTTAGAAGTTATGACAACACTTTCAATGAAACGCCAGCAAAATTTGCTACTGTTTATCGTCTTGAATGGCACAATATGCACGCCACACGATGACCCTGCGGAGACGGCTGTATTTTTGCTTTGGTATGCTTGTTAAGAAGGTCAAAGGATGGATTTAATAGCCTCATCGGAAGATGAGAAATATAATATGATAGCAACATAAATGTTTACATTTATTCACTATTTTTATTTTATTTAATTTTTTATTATTATTCTTGCTTATTTCCATTCTTGATATAATAATACAATGATTGTGAACTGAGCGTGTTAATGTAAAAGGCAAATAGTTATCCGAAGGTAAAGGATACATTGATTTTATATTATTCAGTTCAGTAATCATTCATTCTCAACTAATGTATCTGCAAGCCCAATTCTTTATTGAAACTAAGGCATGCAGTTGATGAGATCAGCAATCATGCATCTGCAAAGAAGTGATACTTTTGGATGTTGTTGACGATCAACCGAACCGCAGAAATTGTGGTTATTATTGTAAGCAGAGAAGAAAAAACGATGTTGAACCAATGCCACGCCTTCTTCTCTGTTCTAGCTGTCCTTCCCTTAACCTTAAAATTGAATCAAAGGCACAAACAAAAGAGTTAGATATGTTCATATAGATGTCCAAGTCCAACTTACTCTACTAGTCTACTTGGTTTGTTAGTTATAGCTTCGTTTGTGTAGTGTAATTATCATAAATAACCTTGATGAAGACCATGCTTGGGAACGTGAAGGTCAGGGGAATGAGTGAAAATGAGCCCAGCAAGTTTACAAAATCACCCATAAAAGGAAATGCAGCAGAGACAAATGTGTTCCCTGCAAAGAAGAGCGCACGTAGGAGAAATAAGCGTTTCAAGTTCTCTCCTGAATGCATTCCCTTCCCAATTTCTAGAAATCTAGTGTCCAAAGCCTCATGAATTGGTGCTACAAACATCTGCATTATTTATAAAAGGACAAAAACACACCCTTCAATTTGTTAGGTATAAACTTTTTTTATATCATGCTAAAATTAAATCAAACTGTCCAAAAACATGCTTTTTTTTATATATAAAAAAGCAGCATGTGAGAACTACTATTCCGTCTTGAATAAAACTGGCCATATGCTAAAATCTTACGTACATGTTGGGAGACTATTGATTGCAGAAAGACAATGGCATTAATGAGGACGTTGATCCATTTGGGACCACTTAAGTTTTCAGGAAGGTATGCAGATGCCATTGACCCATAAGCCCAATAACCCATTATGGTAACACCATAGTAGAAAAGGACACCCACTGTATATTGTGAATACAGGGCCTTTCTCATGTTCCCCACTGCTGGCTTACGTAGAGTGGACTGCATCCATATAGCGAAAAAAAAAAAAAACAAATTTCACTCAACATCATAATTCATAGCATTTATTATAGGTAGACCCACACAAGGTGGAAGCAAATAAATTTTTCACAAAGATATCTGTGCAAATTAATGCATATAAGTTATCTGTATTTATTTTCAAAACGACGTTATTTTGGGATTGAAAGATTAGAAAATTATAATTACAAAGACTATAATAATCCTGAAATAAATTAAAATTACAAAAACACCATGATTTTCGTCCCAAAACAACGTCGTATTGAGCTTACTGCAGATAAATTATCTGCAGTAACTGCAGAAAAAGTGAACTCTAAATTTTTTCTATGATCAGTTTTAATTTATGGGATTAGTGTTTCTCCAAAAAGTGTGAAACTCATATTTTTTTTTTTTTTCTCTCTTCTCTTCACATGGGGCCTATACATTTTTTTACATGTAGAAGATAAAATTATTTTCTATAAAAAAAACATTAATCCATTAATTTATATAGGAAAAAAAATAGAAATATGACCTGTATCTCGGGGAGCAAGCCACTGGTGTTGCTAACAATTATAGCAGAAATGGCACCAAAAGCATTGAACACCTTGCTCACTTTGCTTCCGCTTATGTCAAAATCCCTATTCGAATTTGATTTCCCTTCCAACCACAAATAGTTGGTGGGGTGAGCATAATTTAATGCTAGGTACTATGATTTGGAAGGAGGACAAGTTCAGGAGAAAATATCTTTTAAAGCTAAAATTAAAACAAAATGCTTAATTACCATCTTTAACTAAGACAATCAGAAGCAATGTTATGTATGCGATAGTGATAACCGCAGAAGCTCCCAGCCAATTTTTCATTGCAGACATTGTTGGAATGAAGAAGGAAAAAATGAAGTAAACAGCTCCTGTTATGACTATGTAGTATTGGAGCCTCAAGGGTGAATGATTGAATTCTGAGTTGATTTCCTGCAGTAAACAACCGTTTTCTCTGAAATGAACTAACTCATTCATTCGACCCCATATTTATATATATATGGGGTTTGTTAATTGTGAGAGGTACTTGATCTTACTTTAAGTGCCTTGCCTCCTAGGAGAATGAAACCCATATTTCCAAGAAGAAGGGTGAAAAACTGGAAAGCCCATGTCAAGTGATACATATTCTTGCCTTGAGAAATTTAAGGAAAAATTCAATTAATGATCTCCTTCAGCTAAGATTTAATTAAAGCTTGGATAAGAAATTATAAAAGTATGATATTTTGAAGGCAAGTTCTAATATCATGTACACAACGAAAAACTTAATTACCATAAACATATCCCATAAGATCTCTGTATCTGATGAATCTCCTGCCATCAATGAACTGAAATGCTGCCAAGAGCCAGTTGGCATAGGCGGTGTAGAGTCCCACAACAACAAGGCCTATGAGACCCCAAGTCCAACCCAGTGGCACCATGATCAGATTAGAAAAAGTTAGTATCCACCCGCAGTTGAAGCTTGTCACCAACATCAACCCCACTTGTTGCCACGAATCTGCAAATTGTAATCAATTTCGTCACAAAAAGGAGAATCTCAAATCTTTAGGAAACCTGATAATTGAGGACTTCACTTGTAAGAGTGTGGATAATCATGTATGGGACTATTCGACTGTTTTATAAACTTAAAAACAGAAAATTATGTATCACAAAAAATAAAACCTTGAACATAAATGAGCAGAGAATGAATGTTGTATTACCGTTGTCAATAGTATGAGCAGAAGCGAGGCCATAATCATCATTTTGGGTATCCTTTTCTTGGCCCTGTTCGAGGTTCAGAGTGTGTGAGTTGCCACTGGTTGCTCTTCCTTCTACATCCATGTTGAGATGGTGAATGTCAGATCTCTGGGGAAAAAAGTGGGTTTGATGTTTGACTATCACGACACACTATCACCAATAATATAGAGGTTTGATGTTGGACTATCACTATACATTATCGCCAATAACAAATAAAAAACCGTTTATGCAGCCACTTGATATAAGATTAGCCATATGACTTTATCTTCGGCCATCTCTTTTTTAACTATGTATTTTTGAAAATATATACAGTTAAAAAGGGTACATAAAGATATAAGTTTAGGGATAGGATATTGTGACACCCAAGTTATGTTACACCCATGTGACACCCAGTCAATCTCACTGTTAGATCGCTTACGTTGATCCAACGGTTATATTTATTTCCATCTTTGTATGGTCATGATTTTCCAAATTTAAAGTGAAAGCATTAAATATGGAAAATCATAACCATACAAAGGTAGAAATAAATATAAAATATTAAATTTGGGAAATCATGACCATACAAAGATGGAAATAAATATAACCGTTGGATCAACATAAGTGATCTAACGGTGAAATTGACTGGGTGTCACATGGGTGTAAGATAACTTGGGTGTCACAATATCCTATCCCATAAGTTTATCTTAAATTGTCGTGTATATATATATATATATATAGAAAGATTATATTTACAAACTTTTTATTTATAAACTCTTATAAATTACAGTATGTCTGACTGGTCATATACTAATTAAGAGTGTATAATCGGTCATACTTAGTATAATTTATAAAAAAAAATTATAAACGAATCTTTCCCCGTATATATACATATATATATATGTATGTATATGTATGTATATGTATGTAATTTTAATGTTTCTACAATCAATGCAAATAAATTATTTACATTCATTCTTAAAACGACATCGTTTTGGGTTAGAAGATTAAAAAATTATAATGATAAAGACTAGGGGTGTAAATGGGTTGGGCTAGGCTAGGCTTTGACTTAAATAGGCTAGGCCTACGTAAAAAATATTGGGTATGACATGCTCTATCAGCCTGTGTAGGCCCCAAATTACTAGTCTGGCCTGACCTATATTTAAAAAATAAAAGTCTTGGCCTAGGCCTATTAGCCGGTTTAAGTCCATTAAATATTCAACAATTAAAAGAATAACTAAAATAATATTATTTTATTATTCAAAATAATTAAAATAATAATTTTATTTATTATATTTTAAATAAATAATATGATATAAGCCGGCCTATAGGCTTATAGCCCCGTCATATACAAAAGAGCCTATGGCCTATTTTCTAAATAAGTTTTGTTAAAAGCCTATGCCTGTTCAATTTTACTATTTATAATATGTCAAGCCTGACCTAATATAGGCTAGGCCGTAGGCCCCTGTAGGCCGGCCTAGCCCATTTACACCCCTAATAAAAACTATTGTAGCCTTGGAATAAGTTGTAAGTGTAAAAATACATTGATTTTCTTCCCAAAATAACATCGTTTAAAACTCAATGCAGATAATTTATCTACATTCATTACACAAAAAACAAACCATATATATATAGGGAATAAAGTCTCTAAAGTGACTTTAGAGAACTCTCTCTGCTGTTTATGGAAACGATACCATTTTCGTCTTTTTTCTTTCTTTTCTTTTTTTGATACAATGCTTTTGTCTTTTTTTAAAAGTAAAAAGAAGAAACCAAATTTCTTTTTTCTCCTTGTCCAGTTTCAGCGCGAGAAAAGCAAGCAAAAGAAGAACACCATTACACATTCTCAGTTTCTTATTTGTCCATGGATTTTATCAGTTACACATTCTCATATCCTTCTTAGCAATCGTTCATGTGCTTTACAATGTTGTCACAATGCTTCTTCGGAGACTAAAAGTTTGTTTGTTCTTTTATTTTTTGTAGACTAGTTAGAATTTTTGTTTTTGTTTTCCCATATCTGCACATTAATGATATTGAGTTGAGGGGTATTCACCTTATGACTTTTTCTTGCTTTGGAAGCGTGAGTGTGGATCATTTATTATATTTTTGGTAATGTGATTATATCTTTAGGTGGTGAGCAAGAAAGCAAAAGAGAGACCAGGAACTTCTACAACTACTCTAACACAAGATTAGTTCCTCTCATGGAAGCTCCATAAGGTTTTTCTTTCTCTTGCTTTCCTTATTACTTAATTAGGGTTTTTTTCTTTCTTTCTCTGTTTATTGTGTTTTAAATTCTATTTTTTTGGTACACTTTTTTATAATGGGTAGAATGTTATATGATTTTAGAAACTGGATATATCGACTCATGCTTTTGTTCTTGTTTTTTTTCCCTCTATGTTCAGATGAAGTTTTGTTTTCCAGTTTCTTGCTTCTTCTTTTTTTGTAGAGTAGTTTCTTGCTTTTGATCGCAAACAACAATTATATTCTCAGTTTTTGCTATTATGTTCTTGATACAAACAAGAAACCGAATATATGGACTCGTAATTCCTTTCTTTTTTTCTTTACAGGTTATTGATGGAACACTCCCAAATAACAACTATTGAAGACATGAGTGAAAGTTTAGTATCTTTAGATGACATTGTTGAATTGGAGAAAGATAGCGATGAGTTAAGCGAAGATGTTCAGTGTGAAATTATGAATCAAGACAAAGGTGATGATTTTAGGAAGGACAATTGCCAAGAAATTATAGGAGCTGATAATGAGTTTAATGAGCCTCCTGTGGTGGGTAGAGTTTTTGAGACAGCTGAAGAAGCTTATGATTTTTACAATGATTATGCAAAAGTTAAGGGGTTCGGAATATGTAAGCATTACTCTAATAGGAGTAGAAGAACACAACAACCATGTTTGAGGAATTATGTGTGCTCAAAGCAAGGTGTCAAGAATCTAAATGATAAAAGAATTGATGTTAGCAATGTCAAAAGGCGAAGAGATACAAGGACTAATTGTTTGGCGATGTTTCAAATAAAGTTAGTGAATGGATTATGGAAAGTGGAGAAGTTCAATAATTCACATAATCATCCATTGATTAACACTCCATCAAAGGTGAACAAGTTTCCTTCTCATAACGATTTACATCGCTCAAATTTTACTAAATCCATTGTTTCTAAACTTCATGGGGAGGGTTTAACGTCGTCAAAAATCTCAAAGGTGGTGAATGTTATGAACAAAGAAGTTAACATCACTTCGGATCAAATTAGCACTATTATATCAAGCCAACGTAAGAATAATGTAGGGAGAGAATGTCAGGGCATCATCAAACACTTTCAGAAGAAGTCTGCTCTCGATAGATGTTTTTATTTTGATATATAGTTGGCAGAAGATGGTACATTAAGAAGCGTCTTTTGGGCGGATGGTAGGTCGAGAGCTTCCTATGGTCAATTTAGGGAAGTCCTTGTCTTTGATCTGACTTATAAAATAAACAAGCTCAAGTTTCCTTTTGCCCCTTTTGTTGGGGTTAATCACCATAGGCAATCAATTTTATTTGCTGCTGCTTTGTTAGAGGATGAAATAGAGGCAACCTTTACTTGGTTGTTTAAAAAGTTTCGGACATGCATGTTTGATAAGTCTCCAGTTGCTATTATTACTGATCAAGACAAAGCAATGGAGAAAGCAATTGCTACGATATTTCCAGGAGCACGACATCAATTTTGTGCATGGCACATAAAAAAGCATGTTTTGGAGCATAGTCAAGCATTACATGCACAATTTAAAGATAGTTTTGACATTGACTTTCGTGCATGGTATAAAAGTCGAAGCATAGATGAATTTGAAGACAACTAAGAAGCATTAAGAACTAAATATGATATTAAAGCAAGTAGTTGGTTGGCTAACATGTATGCTTCACGTAACCATTGGGCAAAGGCGTACTTGAAAGATATTTTTTTTGCTGGAATGACTACAAGTGGCCGAAGTGAGAGCATCAATGCATTTTTTGATGGATATGTCAACTCCAACACAATGTTAAATGACTTTGTTACCCAGTATGATAAAGCAATCAAGTCTAGAAGAGATGCTGAAGAAGATGAAGATTTTAAAACTAGAAATACAAAAGCAAATTTGGAGAGTAATCATCCAATTGAAACAATAGCTGGAGAGCGCTACACAAGAAAACTGTTTGAAATTTTTAAAAAAGAGTGGAGGTCTGCCACACAAGATTACTTTCACAAAAAGGTGTCAATAGATGAGCAAAATATTAGGTACCGAGTAGGGTCTCACAAAGTTAATAAAGAGTTGTGGGCAATTGTTGATTACAATTTGATAGAAAGTTCCATTACTCATTGTTCTTGTACAAAGTTTGAGACAATATTTTGTACATCTTCATGAAGAAACAAATGATGACCCTTCCTGAAAAGTATATTTTGACTAGATGGACCATGAATGCAAGCTATAAGGCTCAAAATATTTTGTCTGTTCATTCTAAAACAACTAATAGTGAAGTAAGTGCTTTGTCTTTGTTGTCAACTCAGTCGAAGTGCAATTTGGCTATTTCGGAAGCAAAAGATTGTTTTCATGAAATTAGAAGGTTTGATGCTATTATTGATGAATTATTTCAACAACAATTAGAAAGAAAGAGAAAAAGAATTGAAGAAGAAACCATAAGCTTAAGGAATAATAGTTTCATTAGAAAGTTGCTCCTAATGACATTGCAGATTTTTGTATAAGAGATTGGAAGTTGTAGCAGCTATAGAAGAGAAGAAATTATTTTGGTGTTTGTAAAGTTGCATTGTAAAGATATCTTGTAAAGTTGAGTATAGATATCCTTTTTGAATGAAACCAGTTGCATTGTAAAGATAACTTTATATTGTTTATTTCTGGAAAGTTTTATATTATTTTGATGTACGTACTGTTCCCAGTAATTAATTGTAGCCAACTGTTTTGCTAAAAATTTGACAGCAATGCAAACTTTCCATGCACATATATTGAGATGTATAACTCTTATTGATATGAATTATATATTATTTTAAATTTGTCAAAGAGTAGTACAAAAGCTAAATTTGATAAAACAAACACATGTGATGAATCACTCACATAGAATAATTATGTACATGGATTCAAATTACATTGGACACATATATCTTATAGTGACTCCTAAAATTCAAGTTACAACTCACACACAATATCCTATAAGTTACAACTGATACACAATATTCTATAATGACTCTTCCTACTCGTAGTGTTCCTTGAAGTCTATGTGAAAGCCTTCTTTTAAAGGATCTTCCATATTGATTACTTTCATGCCTTTCATTTGGATGGTTCCTATTGCAATATCCTTAGCATGTTTCCTGGTCAGCTTTTCTGGCTGATGCAGCAACATCCTGCAAAAAGGAATACACACACTATCAATTTGGAGACTCTATATAGGATCAACCTCTCCTTTCTATTAATGGAAACTTATCCTCATTTGAAATTATAGATCATAGTTTAGATGATGCAGAGTGTTAGGAACTGTAATTGTATGCATTTCATCAATGCATAGTAAACTGAATACTCAATACCGTAGCTCTTCTGTTTCAGGATCATATAACTTGAAGAATATTAAAACATCATCCTTGTCCTTGTCAGGTGGTGCAATGGGTTGTAAATCCTAATCAATAATGTAGTTTGTCAACATTTCTGAGTTTGGGAATGAGTATATCATGCTATCGAAGAAGTATACAACATCCACATTAATACAAATGTTACCAGCCCAAGCTCCACTTCCAAAAACAATTTTAGTTCTGCATTGTGGACATTGTAAAATATTTATATGAAAAATATTTGAATGAATAACCAAAAATGAATCACCAAAATTTTTAGTTCTGCATTGTTGACATTGTGGACAATTTTAGTTCCAACTGCAGGAAGAAATGAATCACCAAAAATTGAGCACCCCACCAGCATAACTATAACAAACTACAGGATCCAAAACATTTAGTATGAAAAATATTTATTCGGGTTACATTTTTTATTCATTTTTAAGAAATATAAAACAGCTAGCCAAAGATGGCAGAAATAAAAAAAACAAATCCAACAAACAGAGAATCAACAGTTGGTCCAGCCTGAGAAATGGAATCTGAAAAAATGCAATCAGCCAGGATAACCGTGAAATTAGATGGTTGATTAAGATGACATGAAGCATAGAACAGATTCAATAAAATAAATAAATGTGGGGTAAAAGGAATTCATTTGGTAGAAAACTAACATTGATATAAATGCAAGAACCTAAACAATCAGAGATGAAAAAATCATAGATAAGAAGCTTGAAGTGGGATGTATGATTAATTAAACTAATATTATGAAGATATTATGTGTCATGGGAGAATGTAAAACTATTTGTCTCATGTGTAATATTATGTTTCAGTTGGTTTAATTAATAAAAAAGGGCATTATGATAATTGACGATTTAAGAGAGTTAAGGGAGTTATTTATAACTAGTAACTGGTGACATGGTTCAGTTACGTTCAAAAGAAACTGGAGGTTCTCTGATAAAAGTTTTTCAGAATTTTCTCTCCATCATTGTCTACCCATAAAGGTTGTATCCAATCCCTGTCAAAGAAGATACAAGTATAGAAGAAGGTTAAGACTCTGAGAAAAGACGTTCAACCATTTAAAATTCTTCCGCATTAATGGACAAATGTACGCTTATGTGAAACTAATGAATTCTGGAGATCCTCTGCCACGTTCTTGAATGATCATTGTTGAACATGAATTATTGAATTACTGATGAATGCTTACATGAAATGCTTACATCATAGGCTTACAACTCAGAGTCGCTTACATCATAGGCTTACAAATCAGAGTCGTTGATTTTTTTTTATCTAACGGCTCTCAGATGAGATGTCAAATTTAAAATTTGACACTGGTGTCAAAGGATCCTACCTCATATATATATATATATATATATATATGGTGACAAAGGAGATAAAATTATCTTCTACATATGGAGCCCATATAAATCTGAAAATAAGAGAGAGAGAAAATAATTTCCCGTACTTTATCTATGTAAAAAATAATTTCATCTTCCAAACAAAGACATTAAACAATATATAGATATTATTCGCTGTGACCAAATATGGATTCAGAATCAGGATAGGTATGAAAAGATTCGAAATGATTCCTTCGTTCTAATGGCACAATCAGCGTCGAAGAAGTTCTATCCACCACGTAAAATTTCAATTTGCCCAGTCGATATACTGGGTAGGTATTATCACTTAAAATATATTTTTTTAATTTTTTTTTAATTATGTCGGTTATCGGAGTCACAATATTTTATAGACTTATTTATAAAACACAAGACTTTTATTGTCCGTAGTCAATGGTCGAAATATAATTTTTGCTAATATTTATAAAGTGGATTAAATTATAATAACTAATTGAAGTTGTATTTAATTTTTAATTAATTTAAAATAAATCATAATTACAAATTATTAAATTATAAATAAATATAGTTCTTTTTTTTCATAATAAATATAGTTGTATTTACTTATTTTAAAATTAGTTTCATTTTAATTTTTATAGCTTTATTATTGACAACGAATTAAAAGTTTGTGTTAATTAATAAACTCCTGTAACTTTATATACAGATTTTAGTGTTTTTTGAGATAAAGGTTATTTTTTATAATTTTAAAATAATATTTTTTAAATTTCAGGAGATAATTTTATTTTTTTAAAACAAGTGAAACACTTTTCCTTATATATATATATATGCATTTGAAATAGTCGCATTATTTAATGATTTTATATAAAATATAATTTTTCGTACTTTTAAATTTTAAATATTTATATTCGTTTTTTAAAAGAATTGTTAAAATTAAAGACTCGAAAAACACATGTATTAGGTTAATTTTGATGTATACTCAAATAATGTATAAAATGATTATGAATTAAAGTAAAATTATTTAATATAATATAAACATTTAAAACCTTCCATCTAAATTGTGTATTATGAAAGAAAAAGTAATCTGATAAAAAGTTATTCAATAAATTTTTAATTGACGCCTTATATTATATTATAAATTTAATGTTTCTCCTGCTAGTCCTTTTAAAACATTCTTTTTTATACAATGAAGTTTTAATTCTAGAAACAAAATAAAATAAGGGAAAAGTGTCTATACATTTAAATTACACAACTTACATCCTTTCACTCTCATAAAGAGGTGGGACCCACAACTTTATTTTTTTTGTCAACTCTCTCTCCTCCTTTATCTATCTCTTTCTCTCTCTTAAAATGACACAACTTTACATCCTTCAAAATTATACACACTTTTCCCATAAAATAAACATCTAGATATGCAAATGAATCACTTGATTTTCTTCAATTGCTCGAATCGAAGTCATCCCTCAAACTTTGTATTCAATGCAATGACACACTAATGTGGGATCTTAGACGGCAACTAAAAACAGAATAAAAATAAGAGCAAATATCCTTTTGGTCCTTAACAAAAAAATACGGTCCCACTTTAGTCTTTTATAAAAAAAAATTAGTCAGTTGGTCTTTAATAAATTCAAAGTGGACTCATTTAGTTGAAATCATGGTCCCTCACAATTTCAAAAAAGACTCATATTAGTCCCTCAAAAGGACTAAAATGGGTCAACTTTGAATTTGTTAGGAACCAACTGACTAATGTTTTTTATAAGGAACTAAAGTGGGAACCGTGTTTTTTGCTACGTACTCAGAAGAGTATTTACTCTAAAAATAATTAACCGTATAGAAGGAGGTACATAGGCTGATAGGCATACGGATACGGGGGCATGAGAAAAACAAGGTAGACGAAATTTACCAGTACGTAATACAAGAGGCAGCAGGGAATCAGGACGGCAGCGAAGATTCAACGTCAGTGTGTTGACAGACTGAATACTCTAAAGAGGGAAGGACAAAACACCATTCAATCTTCTCAAATATATAAAATAACACTCATTTTCACCTTAAATGTACACTCCTTCCACATAATTTACGTTATTCTTACCGAATATCCTTCTTGACCATAGTTTATTTTTTATTTTTTTATTTTGTTTCTAGAAGGTCATCATTTTCATACATCATCAGTTGTTGTGTTATAAAGCTACATTTTTTTTTTCTTTTACACCGTGGGCAACGCAGAAATTGGAAACCACACGTTTTAGCTTTTTTTTTTTCTTTTTTTTAAGTATAATTTCGGGTATCCTTTAGTTTACAGTGAAAAACTAATTTCTCAAAGCATAAAGATATTGAAGTGAATTTTATCCCTATTAATAGTTTTTTTTTTTTAGTACAAAAGGAGGGGCTAGGCCCCAAAGACAGAAAAACTAAATAGCAAAATCTAGACTACTGCTAGCATCTTGGAGCAATAGTTGCTGCAAATTAG